CTAGTGTAGGAAAAATATAAGATGATCCTGGAGGGTCTTATAACACCAGAAAGTAAGAAAGAGCTAAAAAGGAAAAAAAATTTAAAAACCCCACAATGATGGCGGTATATCAAAAGGATATAGAAGCCAAGGAAAGGGTTCCAATGGTCAAAGCTGGATCAATCTGAGCAACATAATAAAGCAGTATTGGAATATAACAACAAAGTATAACATAAACACCATGAGACTCTAGATATAAATGACTGAATAAATAAGTAAGTGGAGAATAGACAAATCTCTCCTGTATATAAGAATCTCAAATAATTTACATAGATACTAAGCCTTCAAAGAGGTGGAACATAACCCCCAACACACATACACATACTCCTTAAGTGTGGGCTACGCATATGATTTCCTTCTGAAGAGTATGGAAAAGAGGAAAAAAGTAACTTTACAGTGGAGAAACGTGACAAAACACTACCCCAGCCAGGTGATCAAAGGTAACATCAGTAGTGATAAGTGATATTACAGTATGTGCTCTTGACACGACGTGATGAAAATGGTGCTTTACCTCTGTGATCTTCCTCCTAAACCCTACAACCCCAGTTCTGATCATGAGAAAAACGAGAGGCAAATCCCAACTGACGAACATTCTATGAAATATCTGACCAGTACTCCTCTGAACTGTAAAGTCACAAAACATAAGGAAAAGCCTGAGAAACTGTCACAGTTAAGAGGAGCCTAAGAAGCCATGAATATTAAATGTTTTGTAGTATCCTGAATTAGATTCTAGAATAGTGAAAGGACATTAGGTAAAAAACTAAGGAAATCTGAATAAAGTATGGACTTCAGTTAATAATAAAATATCAATATGGGTTCACTAGCTGCAACAAATGTATCATATTAATATGTTAACAATAGAAGAAACTGACATGAGGTATATACAGAGTCTCTGCACTATCTTTGTGATTTTTCTGTAAATCCAAACCTACTCTAAAATTAAGTTTATTTAAAAAAGAATCAATGAAGCTATTACTTAGGTTAACTAAACTGTTGAAGGGAGAGGTGCCTCTGGGATTAGAGTGTGAGTAGTATGTGTGTATATACCTAACCCAAATCCTACCAACTTTACTTCAACTCAACTCTGCACCTGAGTTCCTGATTTAGGGCTGGAACCCTCCCCTCTAACTCTCCAGAACAACGGAAATGTAATGCAAGCAAATCATATATCATAATTTTAAGTTTTCCAGTAGCCACATTTTAAAAAGTAAAAAGAAACAAGTGAAATTAGTGTTAATATATATTTTTTTAGTTTTAATAATATTTAACCTGATACATTCAAAATATTATCATTTCACAATGTGGCAATAGCCACACTATAAGTGCTCAATAGCTGCATGTGGACGTTACAGCTCCAGAGCCACACATATTTTAAGCAAACCACGGTATTCATAAATAAAAGGAGACTTCTCTTCTTTTATTCTCTCACTCAACCACCTTGCAAAGGCAAGAGAGCATCACCAAACAACATTTATGGCTTCTTCCATACATCGCTATGTCTAGATGGTTTCCAAAAGCCTCAGCGCTTGGCCTGGAGTCTAACTCATCAGCTAACTAATCAGCTAGATGAGAGCATTTCCTTCCAGAAAGGACACCCATCTTGCCCCACCACTTCCACTTCTCTCCTCAGCTTCCCTCTTTAATATCCTGAGTACAAACCCAATTCCAATTTCATATTCCAAAGTCCCTGATCACTCATCTCCCTTCAGATATGGGTGTTTGAGAAAGATTCACCTAACTCTAGTCTAGGCACAGAAAGGAAGCAAGAATTGATATCCAAGTTTCCTTTAAGAGTTCAATTAACACCACGAGGTCTGAGGAGCTGGGTCCTGACTAACCCTACCAGCTGTTGTCTTCAGCAGCAGCAATAGTACCACTAACTTTCTCTGAGAAAAAATTTTGCTAGTGTTACATGCTTTATTTCATTTGATTTTTACAAGACTTTAAGGTTGAAACTGTTACCCCTTACCCCCACTTTTACAGGTAGAAGAAGCAGGCTTAGAGAGGCCAAGCAATTTGTCCAAGCCTTCTCATCTAGGGAGTAGCAGAGCTGGGATGCTAAACAGATCTGATGCCATGCGTGAAACTTAACCAATCTGCCATAAAACCTTTCCTGGTATTTCTGACTACAGCCTCAAAGTGATAGGATTCACAATAGACCATTCACCTCTCTGTAAATGGTGAGGTGAGCAACTAATTGCAGAACATTTTGTTTAAGATCCTTCAGGAAGCCTGCCTGATGTAAGGGAACCTCTGCACCTATAAAGTATCCTCAGAGTTAGGATTCATCACCAGAGGAAGGGGAACTTCACAATTAGTACCAGTTATGGTTTCTACTCACCTATTTTCCTGACTTTACCACAGAACACTAATCATTAAAATCAAATACAGTGCCTTAACAGTATTGCCTAAGAAGGGACTATCCGTCTCATTAGTCCAATTACTAAAATTAGTTAAGATTCAAACACATTCGCCTAAGAGCAGAGTCTTTTTATTGTTTAAACATATCACAGAGAAATCAAATTTCTTTTTAAAAATATTCAGTCTTGTCTATTCTCTTTGGAATTAACACTTTAATACATTGTACACACACAGCAGAGAGTGAGGTGAATTGCAATCAATCCTACCCCTTCTACTTCAATTTAAGTCAGTCACAGGTTGGGGAATGAACTGCTTTGGCTGAAAAGTTTGCTCTGATTTTTAATCTTCTTAACTCAAGAAAATTACAGTTATCTCCATAGGGTCAACCGCTAATGAAGCCCAGAGAGAGAGAGATTATAATTACTTTTAGTCATACTGTTTTTGCCATGGTTGTACACATTTATTTGTTGGTCCACAGACATACATCTGAAATTCATAACTATATGGATATATTTTTCATCTTTTTCTATTTATCAATTAGAAACAGATTATAAAGGGAGCAAGCACAAGTAATTATTAAGAGGGAAACCACAGCATTTTTAAGAATTACTATTATTCAAGTCAGTAAGCATTTTTCCAGTACAGTCTCCTTTCAATTCTAACATAGCTGCTACGTTTGGGCCTTATTTTATACTATACGTACTTAAGGAGAGTCAAGGCTTTACTTTTAAGGTACTTAATTCAAAGGTTTCCTTCCATATGGTGAGAAGGGTTACATTAAAATATAAAGGCAAGGAAGAAATCACTTGTAACAAAATCTGTTCTCTTGGAAATAGTTATTACAACTTTGCACTCTGATGACTATGTTACTTTATAAAACACCTTCCTTCTACAAAAGCTATTAGCCCAAACAAAAAATGTTTCCCTGTTAAAAGTATTACAATTAAAAATGAGCAAAAAACCAACTGAAACCACAAGTCCTGATATTCTGAGGCTCTGGGACTCAAGTCAAAGGAAGTAGTCTTCAACAATGACAACAAAAATCAAGACGATCTTGGACAGGGATTGAAGAAGCGAGGTGATGTATCATGAAGTGATGAGGCCATCAGCCACTTTCTCCACAAAAATTTCTGAGGCAGCAGAGCTTGGTGGTATATGCTACCTTTGTTCTCTCCTCTTGTTCCCTCACTTGGACTCATAAACCTCTTTAAGACATGATCCACCTCCTCCAGAACTAACTGGGACTTCAGGAGATGAGTGGGGTGTAAGTTCAGAGATCCTGGCTTCAAGCAAATATCCCTATTAATAGAAAATAGGTGGGGGGGGGGGAGGGGAGAAAACAAAGAAATAAAGGAAGAAGATTACTTATAAACATATAAGTTTCGGGAGAAGTAGGGAAAGGGAAAAAGGAATGACAACTTTGGTCCAGGAGAAATTATTGCTGGCATCAAGGATTGACTAAAAAGGTGGGAAAGAAGCTGCCCACCAGTTCATGGATCAATGAGCATCTTCTTTTCTACACATTACCCTCCAGAGGTAGGACTAAGTCTAGCAGCCTGACGATGTTTCAATTTCCCTAACAAAACTAAGCCAAAAAGTAACAATCTTATCTGCAACTAACTACTTAAATTAAATCTGTACTTAGTGAAAGACAAATCCTAAAACAATGTCTTACAAACAAAAATCACAAAATATGTTTATATTCATCTGTTCATTTACTTAAACATTTTTCTGTGCCCTTTCTAAGTAAATGCCAAGGAAATCAAAGATAGCTCCTATCTTCACATAGTTGGCAGTCTAGAACAGAAAGTAAGCCATGCTAAAACACAAAAACCAAAAACATTTCTGGACGGTAGTTGTGGAATTCTAAAAGTGAGAAAAACTATCCTGTACCAAGTTTTACATAAAATTGGGTTACAGACTCCTAAGAAGGACGAGAAATAAGAAATGGGGTTGAGGGTATGAAAAATACTAACGATAAGAGCAGCTAACACCAAAAAAGGGTTTTACGTGTGTTAAATCATTTAATCTTCACAACAACCCCATGAGAGACGTACGATTCTCCCCCATTTTACCAAGAAGTAAAGTTGAGGGAGGTTAAGAAACTTGCCTAAGTGCCACAACTATTAAGTGGCAGAGCTGGGATTTGAATCCAGGCACCACAGCTCTTAACCCTATTTTGCCGCATAAAATAGTATTATTACTAATAAAACAACATTACTGTATATTGCAGACCCATGATCTAGGTACGTTCATTCATTCTCTTTAAATACTCACATCTCTGCATTTTACAAACAAAAATCTCAGACACAGAGAAGCGTTCCTAAGCTTATACAAGTAACAAAGTGGTGGAGTCCGGATTCGAGCCCAGATGGCTCAGATTCCGAAGGCTCTTTTCACTGCACCCCACAACCCAACTTGCAGAGTCTCCCTTTACCCTCAACTAATGAAGCTCCATCCCTCCGGAAGGGCTCCGGCACCATCACCGGGCTCCACTCCAGCCTCGCGCCTCAGAGACACACTTGTTCAGGCGGCGTTCCGCCGCCGCCGAGGCTCCGTGCTTTCCGGGCCACCCCCGCCCACTGGGGCAGGGCTCTCACCAGGGGGCAGTCGGGGGACCCTCGCAATCTTGCCGGTGATCTCCGCAGTGAGCACCGCGAAGTCCTGCTCGTAGCCTTCGAAGTCAGACGACATGGCGACTCCGGAGTGATGAGCCCAGGCCGGAGGCTAGGTCGTGGCAGGGGCCACGCGGGACAGGGGAACACGGTGGAGGGACCCCGGGCGGCACCCTCGAGAGCAGAACGGAGAACCGGGGACAGCTCCCGGCCGACCGCTTCCTAGTTGTTCGTCGCAATCTCGGTCCTCAGGAAATTGGGCTGCGTGCGCTTTTTAGTTTCCGCTCAGGCTTCAAAATTAAGAAATTCGTTAAGAAAAAGCTCTTCGACTAGGGTCCCAAAAAGCCTCTGGAAATATGCGGGTTCTCAGGGATCACTGGAAGCATCTGTTTTACTCCTCCAAGTTCTGGAAAGCGGCTCCGGTTCCCCAGCTACAGGTCACAGGCGCTTGCTTCCAGAGGGAAGTGTGATGCGGGGAACTTCCCGGAAGTGGTGGTCTTGGAGACTGCGCACGGGGCCTGCGCGGGAGAGACGGGGCGAGGGCGCTGGCCGGGAGACCGAGCGGTTGGGGCAGGTCTGGGGCTTGAGCCTCTAGCAACCAGGCTTTGGTCTCTGCGTGCGTTGGACTTGGGTATTCATGACGGAGTTATCCGAGGAAGAGAAAACCTGTTCCGGGTGAGCCCAGGCCGCCGGAAATGCGATGGGCAAGGAGGGGGCACTAATGACTAGACTGAGGTGGCAGTCTAGGCGGGGGATGTGACCGTGATTTTGGCGTCTTCGACCCACCCGAGTGAGACCAGACTCTCCAGATGTTGAGACCAATAACCAGATGTCTTTCCCCAGGGTGAGGATTTCTGAGCGCTCTTCTCCAGGACACGGACGGGAAACGGGGGCACAAGGCAGCAGCATCTGGTGCTTGGAAGTCTTTATTATGCTGTACCTCAGATCTTCTTCCCTGACTTGCTCCAGTCCAGTTAGAAAGATCCTTCTACTGGTCTTCCCGGGGCTCCACCTCCTGCCTTCCCCGCCCCTCACTCCGGGAGGCGCTTCCTCCTCTTTTTTTCTCAACTGTTCTCATTCATCTTCATTCTCATATACGCCTCCAGTCGTGGTTTCACACACGCTTCTCTCTTCCCCTCCTCTCCTTGCACTCTCTCTTTGCCTTCACTCTCCCGCTTCTTTACCCTTGGCCCGAGTAGACCCTTATGTTGGTGTTTTGGGGGCAACCGCAGGCAAATGGTGTAGACCATGTCTGGATCATACCATACTTGATTCGAGATGGGTAAGAAGCAGTGTAGAATTCCATAAAGGGAGCTCTATGACTTGGTTTCTATTCTGAGTTCAGCTGTTACTTGTGACCTTGGTCTAATCACTTAGCTTCTCCCAGCCACTTTCTCTTCCATGAAGAGGGAAGCTGGATTGGATAAACTCTAAGGGCCTCCTTCCCAGCTCTAAAATTCTTTGTGGCCTCAAACCATTCACTAAACGTTGGGTAGTCACAGTCCTTAGACAAGTTCGGTACAAAGGAATAAAAATAGCTATTTTAGAATCGTGTATCCAGTTTGTATGTCATTCAGACTTGAACCCTATTTTAGATAAAATGAAAAAAGTTCTTTTTGTCATTGGACAAGATACTCATCCCGTAGTAGTGCACTTGTGAGATGCTTTTGTGTAGGTGATTATGGGAGTTAATAAATACAGTATATAATGTTTTACTAAACTTCCTTATTTTGTTTTCTTTAGATTGGGTTTCAACCCAAGATACTGGATTCTCCTACTTAAGATAAAGAGTTCTAAGTGTATAACAGTGAAAATGGCATAATCTGCATTAACATCCCACAGCTTGAAGGCATGACAATTAAAGAACACACATGGACTTGTGGCACATGGAAATGTGTGCACAGAAAAGAGAAATCTATAATTCTTTAAAAATAGGAAGTCATTCTTCCTCACCAAAATGGGCACATTCTGCTCAGTTATCAAGTTTGAAAATCTCCAAGAATTAAAGAGACTTTGTCACTGGGGTCCCATCATAGCCCTTAGTGTTATAGCAATATGTTCTACGATGGCCATGATTGACTCTGTCTTGTGGTATTGGCCCTTACATACAACTGGAGGAAGCGTGAATTTCATCATGTTGATAAATTGGACTGTCATGATTCTTTATAATTACTTCAATGCCATGTTTGTTGGTCCTGGCTTTGTCCCTCTGGGGTGGAAACCGGTAAGAAAAAGATTCCTTAAAGTGATGAACTCTAATGATAATCATGGATTTAGTTTTTGCCTTATGTGCTAACCAATAATGTCAAACGCAGCCTGCTGTTTGCCTTGGTAGAGACTAAGCATATTATTCTAATCACTGATTATTTAAAGTTCAAAGAATATTTGATACCAGTTTGAAAATATTGATCTAAATTAGTATTTCCCAAAGTATTGCATTGAATACTTCTCCTGCATTTAAAAAAAAAAAAAATGGAGGCGGGGTGGTGAGTCCATGTTCATGAGTTTCCAGGAAACACTGCATATCAGAAACTTCATAATTTCACAATGTGATTTTACTGTAGGATCTTTTTTCATGTGATAATTAACAACCCTCAGAACTAGGAAAATTCCTTAGAAACTACTGGCTTAAGTTATAAAGGTTTTAAATCATTGCAGTGAAATCATAACATTGGGAAGTATAGTATCAATCAGTTTATTGATAGTATCAACTTATGGCTTCTTAAAAATTATTAGAAAGTTTATGCTTGTGAATTTCCATATTCCTTGCGGAGGGACATCACCTGGTAGTTTGTTAGAGATGTAGAATCTTGGGCTCCACTTCAGAACTACTGAATCAGAATCTGCATTTAAAAAAATCCCCAGATGATTGTTAGGTATGTTAAAGTTGGAGAAACACTAGCGTACTATTTGAGGTGAGTACAGAGGTAGGTAAAATACAATTCATATTCTGAAAAACTTTCTAACTGAGGAGAGAACAAGGCACTTGTGCAGATAACTATAGAGTAGAACGTGATGGATGCTGCTGAATTTAGAGGGAACTGATGGTTTTCAGCTGGAGACCTGAGGGAGGAGCAGGCATATCCACAGGAGATGGGGAACAGGGCATTTCAGGTTGAGAGAATGGTGGGAGCACGGATTCAGGAACAATGGACAGCCTAGTTTGGTTGGAAAAGAGGTTATGTAGTGCAGATAAGGCTGAAACAAAGGCAGATTATGGAAGGCCTCAAATACATGAGAAATTAGACCATAGGGAGTTATTAGAGGTTTTCAAGCAGGGCTTTGACATAATCAGAGTTGTGTCATAGGAATATTATTCTGACAATAGACACTTGGATTAGAGAGAAACTGCAGTAAAGGAAACTAGTTAGGAAATGAATAAAGTGGTCCAAGGGAGGGGCCTGATTTCGGAAAGAGTATCACCTGCGATGCAGAATCCCCGCCCTAAATCACCTGCCAAGTTGTCAGCTGCCTTTTTTTCTGAACTTGCTCCATTCCACTAAGATTTTGGATCTTAGTAGAACCATCACGTATACTCATTGACGCTGGATTTGGATGGAGTGTGCGGAAGAGAAATTAAAAATGACTTCTAGGTAATTGGAAAAGCGATGCTGCTGTTATCAGAAATTCATTGTTTAAAAATATTTTAGCTCAAATAAAAGGGCTGGAAATGCAAGTTGAGATTCCATCCTTCCCCCATCCCCATAAAAGAAAATCAAACTGTAGGAAAGTATTTATTTATAAGGCTTGACTTATTATTACCCAGGGTCAGATATCTGATGTATTTTTGTTTATATTTTGCTGCCAAGGAACATTCTCAGGATAGCATGTACCTCCAGTATTGTAAAGTCTGCCAAGCATACAAGGCGCCGCGGTCACACCACTGCAGAAAGTGTAACAGGTACTGTCTGTCTTTGCTATTCATTGGGGAGTGATCAACTTGATTACCGGTCTTTATTGTTCTTTCTACCACATCAATCCTAGTTTTATTCTCTACAAGGTTGCTACTTTATAAAAAATATTGTCAAAATACTAGTGTCCATAATCTCCGTTTTACTCTTAAATTATCAATTCTGATAATAAATAGATCTCACTCTTTTTTGTTGTAAGTGAAAAGATTTTCTAGAAAAATACAGATTTACTTTGCTGCTTGTCCTGCCAAGAACAGGTTAAAAACTGATACCTTTGAGTTGCTTCCATAGATCAGGATTAATTGTGCTTGTCAACTGTCATCTTGACTAGGTTTGGAATTGTTCTGAGTCTACATTATAAAAGAGACCAGCTTTTTCCATTATTTAGTTGACTAACATTTACACGTTATACAAATCTAATAAATACATCCAGGTGCCTGTTACCACAGTGTTTTAATATAAAAAACTTAATGGGAAGAAAACTGAATCCCTATAAAAAATGTGAAATAAGCTAGAACCTTTTTTAATGAACAGCTATATCCAGTGATTAATAAGAAATTTATGATGAGAATGTTGAGGTTTAGGGGAACAATTGGAGGCAAATAAAGTTTAGTTTGAGGCCAGGAAATTTTTTTCTAGCAACAATGAGGAAAGTAAGCACAGGGGACTTTGCTTATTGTACCACGTCTTCTATTCTGGAGTTAGCTTACTTGGCTCAGAGATTCTACATCTAAAGGACGCGAACAGGAAGGAAGTGACAAGGGTCTGCTAGGCCCCATCAACCCCAGTGGAGACTTATAAGTGATTTTGTTGAGTCTCTATTGTACTCTACTTCAGTCACTGCATTTCAGAGCTAGAGGAAAACCAGGAACTGTATTCATTTCTTTATAATGAACCTCAGTGGGCCTCCTGACTTCTTTAAACAAACTCGCTTGTAGCAGACGTCTTTTCCTCAGAAGCTGTTACAAAGCCTGCCCTCTCTTGTGCTGTTTAGAATTGAAAAGAAGTCACTGTTCTGAGTTGTTTAAAAACTCAAAGATTTTTCTTTCTCTTCCATGAAGTATAATACCTCTGTGACTCATGGACATGCTAGATTCCTATTTGCTTGATCTTTTGAAGACCAAAGTTCTTTAAAGTAGACAGGATTTTCTGCCTCATGTTTTATGTAAATTTTTCTTGTTAGATGTGTGATGAAGATGGACCATCACTGTCCTTGGATCAACAACTGTTGTGGTTACCAAAATCATGCTTCGTTCACACTGTTTCTCCTTTTAGCACCACTGGGTTGTATTCATGCTGCCTTCATTTTTGTTATGACTATGTATACACAGCTTTATAATCGGGTAAGTGAAAATGTTTGTTATAAAATCATTCATTCCAGATTAAATGGTAGTTATTAAGATCATTTAAGAAGTCCCTTTTGGAATTATACTTTTTATGATTTAGGTGAGAAAACAGAA